TCTTTCTTTCTTTCTTTCTTTCTTTCTTTCTTTCTTTCTTTCTTTCTTTCCTTCTTTCCTTCCTTCCTCCCTCTCTCCCTCCCTTCCTTTTGTCTCTCCCTTTTTTTCTTTTTTTCTTTCTTTCTTTCTTTCTTTCTTTCCTTCTTTCCTTCCTTCCTCCCTCTCTCCCTCCCTTCCTTTTGTCTCTCCCTTTTTTTCTTTTCTTTCTTTCTTTCTTTCTTTCTTTCTTTCTTTCTTTCTTTCTTTCCTTCTCTTTCCTTCTTTCTCTTTCTTTCTCTCTTTCTCTTTCTCTCTTTGTCTCTCTCTTTTTTCTCTCCCTCTCCCTCCATTCCTTTCTTCCATTCTTTCTCTTTTACTTTCTCTTTTTTTCTCTCTCTCTCCTCTCCCCCCCTCTCTCTCTCACACACACATCCCTTCCAATTATTTTCGTAGATATATTCTATGAACTAAAACCGGTGCCCAATAAATCCTATGACCTACAAGCCAATCAACAGAGCACCCAATTCAACCTCGTACCACTTTGGGGCTTAACCGAATATGGTTAGTCCTGTTATCTCTTGGCCTTGCTTCTCGCCTTTTTAGCAGAGCGTCAGAGAGAGCTAATTTCAAATGGCTTTTTTCCCTTTTGCTGAAGCCAGATTTCTCTGCTGCTCAGTGGGTGATCTGGTGGGTGTCTGAAGGTGTTGGGCACACCATGGAAGACATGCATGTCATGCACACACACACATACACACGCACACATACACCATGCTTGCCACAATGCAAGGCACATGTGTAAGGGGGACTGGATCAGCTGGGAGGCTGGCAAAAAAGAAGCCTCTGTTTCTCTGCTGCCGTGGCTGACAAAGGGAAGGGGAGAGGAAAGGAAAAATGCATGGATTTCTTCCCCACCCCCATTGGAAACCAGGCGGCTGTCAAAGAGAAGGGAGCGCATGCCACATGGGCTTATCCTAACAGCAGAATCCTCACCTCCTGTTCCTTCTACAGCTGTTGAACAAGCCCACGTGGTGCGTGCTGCTCCCTTCTCTTTGAGTACGTGCCATGTGGGCTTCTCCCAATCCTCCGCTCCGGCAAAGGAAGTGGGTGGGCAGGGCAAGCCTGGTGTGGACAGGAGGGAGGGAGCTATTGGCAACTGGGTGGGCAGGGGGGAGAAAGCGAGAGGTGACTAGGCGGGCGGGGGAGCGAGTGGGGGGGCAGCAGGCCAGGGGAGAGAAAGTTCCAGTACGGGGCCTCCAGAAGCTCAGGTACAGGAAGGCACACTAAGTTTCACGAAGCAGTACATGCGTACCGGTGCATACCGGCTGAAACCCACCCCTGCTATGTCAGCTGTTAAGAATATTAAGCAAGATTGCTATGTCAACTGTTAAGAATATTCAGAGCCTATATTAATGCAATACTCTTATGACACCTTAAGTCACAAACCTGAGTGTAAACCTTAATGCTTTCAAGAATGAAATGCTTTATGAGTTGATCTTAATTTGCGGTGGCTGATAAGTCATACTTCTTCCTCAGTTTCTCTCATAGGAATTAACTTCCAGTTCCCTGATCATCTTCATTGTCACTCTTTACATCCCTTCCAGTTTGTCTGAACCCTTCCCCCCCACTAACATGTAATGCTTAGAATTCTACAAGTGTTGGAGGCAAGGTCTTACTTCTGTACTTCTCATGATGCACCTTTTCTGAATCATTTGTTGTGACATTACTGTAAGCTCTTTCTCTGGAACTCTTTTTTAAATATATTACATCACTGTTTTGATACCAATTTATTGTTTCTGCTTTCCTCTAGTGGATAAACTCCCATACGATTGTGCTTCTAGACAGTGTGGAAAAATTACATGTGATAGATCGTCATACACAGGAGGAACTTGAGACCGTAGAGATATCAGAAGTTCAGCTAGTATACAATAGCAGCCATTTCAAATCGTTGGCAACAGGAGGCAATGTTAGCCAAGCACTGGTATGGCTCTATTTTGTTTCCGTAGTATTCTATTCTGTTTTGTTTTTGTAGTATTCTTTTCTAAAATTTGAAGTGTCTTGAAATGTTACAGGTACAATTTTCTTTCTTTTTACTTTATATATATCAAGGCTGCTGTTTCTAGCATATAGTACACTCTTATTACTGGTTGTAATAATAAAGGCATTACTTTTTCCAAGCATTTTATATGAAATGGTTTTAATACAATTTTACATGGTAAAATAACATGGTAAAAACACATTTATATATTTTACAATGTATTGCTGACATATAGCCATTGTACCCATTATGACAAGCATATGTTTTGAAAGCCCTTCATCTTAAATATTAACCCAGTTTTATTGAGCCTTGTTGCTTGCACTGACATAAAATTCTCTATGCTGCTGGGAACATCCAGTCTGTAAGTGATTTTCAGATGTTAACGTAGTTGTAATATTTATTGGAATTATAAAGTTGCAAGAATATGACACGTACAACCTGACCAAAGAAATCAAACTTCACTTTATATTTCTGAAATACAGCTTTGTTTTTCAGTGGATCAAGACATAGGCAGTTTATAGCTGCTACATGTTAAAAGAGGATAATAAGCAGGGGTGGGATTGAAAAATTTTAGCAACTGGTTTTCTGCCCAGTTGCTGGGTAGGTGTGGCCAATGGGAGCGTCGCCAGCATGGCATCCTCACAGCGGGGGGAGGACGTTTTCACCCTCCCCATGCTCCTCGATTCTCCAGGAGGGTGAAAACGGCTCCCCCGGGCTTCATAGGCCCTCTGGAAGCTAGAAACAGGCCCGTTTCTGGACTTCCAGAACTTCCAGTATTCCTGTTTTTTGCCTTCCTAGAGCTTCCATGCAGGCCCTGTACTTACCTGGTATGATAAATGGGTCATGTAGAGGGGAGGGGCTTGGTGATCCGGGCCAGCCTGTCCTTGCAACAACCGGTACAGGGAACCAGATGCAAAATTAGCATCCGGTTTGCCTGAACCAATTCAAACTGACTAAATCCCACTCCTGATAACAAGGGTCCCCCCGCCCACTTTTCTGTTCAAGTATAGATTTTTGAAACTGTTTAAAGGGCCTTTAAAGTTAGAGCAAATCTAATGTCTGTGGAATCATGTTCCAAAAGGTAGGTGTCACAACAGAAAAGGGCCTCTTCCTGGGCTGCGCCAGATGTTGTTCTACAATAGATAGGATCCAGAGCGCACATCTCCTGCCAGAACTGATGAGATGAGTAGATATGATCAGAGAGAGGCAGGCCCCCAAATAACCTAGACCAGTGGTTCTCAACCCGCCTATGCCGCGACCCTTTAATACAGTTCCTCATGTTGTGACCCCCAACCATAAAATTATTTTATGTTTTCCATATTTTTTCAAAAATATGTTTTCTGATGGTCTTAGGTGACCCCTCTGAAATGGTCATTCGACCCCCAAAGGGGTCTCGACCCACAGGTTGAGAACCACTGACCTAGACTCTTGTCTTGTTTATGGCATAATTCAGTACAGTATAGTAGCAATTTGCTAGTGTATAGTGTGAATTAATGTTAAACAGTTAAAGCTCTTATGATTTTATGAACTATATAAGTGGCAAATTCAAAGATAATGAGGATAAACTACTAAAATATTTTACTTGTCCTGCTTCATTTATATTTTAAATGATTGGGTATTTATTATACCTGGAATTTATCCATTAAAAAGGTAAACTATATTCTCCTGCATTAAATAAAAATGTTCTGTGTTTTTTAGGCACTGGTGGGTGAGAAGGCTTGCTACCAGTCAATCAGCAACTGTGGTGGTCAGATTTTTTATTTGGGTACAAAGGTAAGTTTGTCCAGGTTAATAGCACTTAGCAATAGAACTTAGACTTATACCACTTCACAATGTTTTTACATTTCTCCCTAAGTGGTTTATAGAGTCAGCATAGGATGGAAGGCTGAGTCAACCTTATTCTCCTTTATCATTACTCTTATTATTTATCAGATCTGTTAGCTGATTAAATCACCCGTCCTTTAATCAGATGATTTAATTCAAATACATTTTTATAACATGATGTAAACATTTATACATAGATGTGTTCAGTTCAGGTAACACAGCAGACTTGAATTAAGCAAAATTAATAATGATGGCATTTGAACTTTTTATTACAATTGCTCTAGAGAAGGAAAGGGAAAGAAGAATATATAATTATGAGGCTTTGGGCTATTGCTATTGTCAGCAAAAATGTTTTTGACAACAACTGAAAAATAGTTCACCATAGTCTTCTTTGACATGGACACCTTTGAGATACATTGATTTCAACTTCAGTGATTACCCTGCCAAAATCAAAGGAAGCTATTTAGCATATGTGTGAAAAGTTGATTCATCATTCATCTACTTAAGATGCCATAATTATTGCTAATATACTCTTCAATTAATATCTGTTACTCACCTGTTTTCCCCTCATCTGCTTTCAGTCTGTTCATGTTTTAACGCTGAGGACCTGGAGGGAGGTAAGTGAAGAAAGAAGCAACAAGTTACTTTTTTCATGGCTTCATAAATAGAGGTGTCTGTGAGAAACATTTTCAGATTAAATGTATAGATTGTTGAAAAAGTATCAATATTCTGACTTCAGTATATCATTTTTATTAATATAACATTTTAAAACTAATATTACTCAAAATTGGCAATTTTAAGAGGTGAATTTCAACTCCCAGAATTACCCAGCCAGGCATTATCTGCCACTGATAACCTGTCAATTTAATTCCACTTGGAATTTGTCTTGTAAATTTTATTTCTGATTGAAAAATAATACATATATAATTATTTTAGCGTCAGCATTGAACATCTGGATTTTAGGTTGTATTACTTTTAGTTTAAAATGGTTCTTAAACACTGTTTAAATTTCAGTCTGACTGAGAAAAGAGGAATTTTTTTAGAATAATCCATCCTTAGATGAGGGATATAATCAAATAATGATTGTTAAAACTGATTAATTTGAATCAATACCGACAAACAGCAAAACAAAGATGTGATTTTATCATTTAAATCTATCCAGATTACTAATTGTTTTTAAAACAGAATTAGCTAGATGGTTTTTATTTGAATCTTAAAGAAAACACTTTTCTTCAGAACAAGCCTTTAGCATGCTGAAGACAAAAACAGGATCACTGCAAGTTTGCGTTAAGTTTATAGTATCCATGTTTCACTGAATATTATTTATATTTATGATGTAATTTTTTTACTTTTTATCTTAGAGGATCGATCACCTTCTGAAACAAGAATGTCTTAATGAAGCATTGGCTTTGTCATGGTCCTTTCATGAAGGGAAAGCCAAAGCTGTTGTGGGTAAGTGTATTTACCTCAGGTAACAGCATTTTATTCCTGTTTTAGTTGCCATCATTTCTTCTTGTCATTTGTTACTTCATGTACTGTACCATTTACTCATCTTGCCTACGAAGTCACAATCCTCCCAATAACATGGGTGTCATTAAGCTTTGGACAATCAAAGCTTTTGCATATCACTTTTGTAAGGACATACAGTAAGTTACAGTATGTGAATAGCTAGAGGTGATCGAAATGGTTGCTATATTGCAGTATGTGAAAGCTGTAAAAACTGAGAAGTTCAAGTTGGATGCCACTGCTTCTGAATTGAGCCTGGATAATATAAATAGACCAGTGGTGGGTTCCGGATCCCATTCCAACCAGTACGATTGGAACAAACCCGGTGGCGTCCACATGGACGCGCACATGCAGACGTGCATAGCTCGTGCATGCATCTTAGCACCTCCGCGATGCTCCAGTTGTTCAGTGGAGCGTCACACGGGCTGTATGTGTCGTGCATGTGCGCAGAAGCGCAGAAGACTTAAAAGACCAGTAAGGAGCTTGGGCGGGCGGGTGGGCCCTCCAGACCACTGTACTGGAGTTGTATCTGGTGCTCCAGGCAGGCTCCGGTACGTCCGTACCAGG